TATATATATATACACATAAACATAAACATAAACATAAACACAAGCATGTACATAGATAGCAGCTTTGCTGCTATAGTATTGTCTTGTTCCTTGTTTAACAAGCTCTAGTTAACAGGAACAGAAATAAAAAGCAGGAGCAGCAGTCTGCCTTTACCTTGCTTTCTCCCCCCTTAATAGCCATATCAACAGGGCCAAGCAGGGAGGCAACTGAGGCCACTGACTTTGATTTTCTGCCGCAGCTGTTCATTCTAGTAATAAAAATAATTGCCATTTAGTAGAAGCTGTTATATAATGCAGTTAATCTCATACACTTATGGTTAATGATGCATGTTCAAAATGACTGAAATAAGTATGATGTGATAAAAATAAAGAGCAGTCACGGACCCATAAATGAGCCAATGGATATAAACTTTGCAAAAATTCTACCAGTCACAGAAGAAAGATTTTGGTGTAAATGTCACAACTGCAAAGTGGGTTTCACTTCCTGATCAAGGATGAAAAATCAAGAGTTAAATCCTGGAAAGAAATCTAAGCTAAATTCTAATGACAAGATAGTAAGAAAGTACGGTGATCTTTTTGGAGCCATACAGAGAAAAACAGTTAAATATTTGCTTTTTAATAAGGCCATACAACATCCCCTTGTATGATTTACATATAGCTTGATAACTATACCCTATTTTGTGGACCTGTATAGAACACGGTAATCATTAGAAATCCAACATTGAAAGTAAAGAAATGACATCAGTTCAGTATTCAATCAATTCACAAAGCATCCTATTATCTGACCCACTGGTGAATCCACAACTTTTTTGCAAAGTACTACAATTAATGAGTGCAATCAGGTTGAAAATGCACAATAAAATTGGTTTAGTAATAGTTGAAACAAATAACTGCATAAATAAACAAACAAATAACCAAGCTCCTATCAAGTAAAATGCAAGGATGTGAATACTGTATAGTGATAGTTAAGGACCCAGAAGACAAGGATTCAAATTAACATTCAGCAAGGAGCCAATACTACTCTCTCAGCCAAACGCAGTTTACAGGGTTGTGTCAACTGCAAGTGAAGAGAGCCATGTACGTTGGCTTGAACATTGTGGGAAATATGGAATATGAATATAAACAAATAGTAAATATGCTTTGTGTCTCTTCAGAATCCGGTAAGATTGAACTGCAAATTCCCAATAGAACCTGGAAGTCAGATCCTAAAAAGTTTTAAAAATCCCTACAATGAATGTCACATGATAGTACCTTAGACACTTTCCCTAAAACCTTTGCTATTGTTTCTACAGACTTTCACTTTAACCTCCTAATTAAAGTATTCTTGTCCAATTACTGAGTGAAAACATTTCAAAAGAATAGCACTTCAACTGTTTAACTGCTTTTTAACATATTAAAATATCTTTTTAAAAGCTCAAAAAGAAGTATCAGAATATTTTCTTGAACACAAGTGTTTCAGCATTCTGTAGCCCTCTGGATTTCTCAGAGATGGTATTCTAAGAAAAAGGAGGAGGGAGTGAAGATATTTTTCTACAATAGAAGCATTAAATTAACACAGGGATTTTGTAAACTAAACAGGGGAGCTTTGAAAACCATGCATTTTTACTGTTTCCTGTCTTCCTGGAAAAATCTCACTGTTAAAACAGCTTGGATTACATAAAAGGACTAACTGGCTGTGAAATAATTTTATTTTCAAGTAAAAGGCACAATCATTTTCTTTTAAACACATTTTAATCTTATCTTGCATCTATACTAATGTTTTGGACATCTAAAAGATCTGCATTTACATTCTTTCCAATATTTAATAGAGTAAATCAAGGATGCATTAAGATTGAATTCAAAAGCATATTTTAGTCCCACTTTACTTACTAAATAGTAAAACAAAAATAAAGCAAATCAAGGCTCCCAAAACAAACAAGAAAACCAAAAACCATACTGTTAATCTGCCAATCCAAAACTTAAACAATGTAAGAGACAGATGGAGATGAATTAAGCAAGGGGAAAACAGAAATATGAGCAATTCAGCTCAAAAGTTCAGGCTTTAGTTTTGTTATTCATAAATACAGTGGTACCTCGGGTTACGAACGCCTCTGCTTACGAACTTTTCGGGTTGCGACCAGTTCCGGCCGCAAAAATTTACCTCAGTTTGCGAACTCCGCCTCAGGGTACAAACCGGATCCGCGGCCATTTTCCGCCGTGACATGTGGTCCGCGGCCATTTTCCGCCCGTGCCACGTGGTCCACAGCCATTTTTCCACCCGTGCCACATGGTCTGCGGCCGTTTTTCTGCCCTGCCGTGCAGTCCGCGGCCGTTTTTCCACCCTGCCGCATGGTCCGCGGCCGTTTTTCCGCCCTTGACGCA